TACAATAACTATTGTCTCTCTTGAAAATTTGAATTGTATATCACTGCTTCTACCTGGGTTCCAACATCATAGTCTGGCATCGGTAAGTAATGTGCAATTATTTCAGCAAGTCAGGTCAATTTAATATTGCTATTTAGATATTTGGAAGTGTGGGTTCCGTAAGCGGAATCAGCGAGCCGATTTCAAATTCTGGCCTCGTCTGTTGCAATCACTTTCGCACAAATGTCCTTGGGAAAAGCATAAATCCGTCTATTTTTCCTCCAGCTATGAGTTAACTAGCGGGGTAGACTGAATTCTTTACCTTTGACTCGCAACTAGTCTATGAGAAGCAAAACACTAAATTCTAAACCTGAGCAAAAGCACAGCAATTTAAAAATCATAAAGAGAAAAAAAAATTATGGAGAGTTATAATAACCTATGTCCTGAAGGGACATGACATTAAAAAATTTTTTTAAAATTCTGCCTGTTACTAGAATGCATCGTGGCTTAACTGGCGTTTATTTATTTTACTAAATCAGCGATCTGACAAAATAGGGTTAATAATCATGATCCTATTTAGCTAGGCAACCTCACATACCAGAGAGAGAGAGAGAGAGAGAGAGAGAGAGAATGGTTAACAGGAACCGTGTTGTCCAACAAATCGAGACGAGATCACTAAACAGTCTAACAGCTCCATATCAATCAGTAAAACGCATTTTCTACGAGGGTGTGCGCTCATCGGATGGATTGGCTGCAGCGAGTATATCAACCTTCGTTCACCCTGCTACACAGTTTCACTAAAACACCACACGACCCTCACCATGTCAGTCAATATGCGGGGGAGGCAAGAAAAGTGCTTCTTCCGCCCACACAAACACAAACACAGACACACAGACACACGTGAATCGAAGAACGTTTGAGGCACCGTGACACAGGTGCAGACATTTAATATAGAACACGCAGACACACGAACATACTGTGTAGAGAGAGAAGCCGAAGCTGAACTAATGTAGCAGCTTGAATGGACGACTGGACTCTGGGGTTGCAACTGGAGGAAACTAGTTCAAAAATAATGGTCAGTCCAAGACGTACTAGAAGTTTGCTCTTGGAATTACGCAAATGAACCGATTTCGACATGCCTAATTTGAGAAATACATGCCAACGATCCATATACCTCGCTGATGAGCTGAGTATTTTAACCAGCCATTTTGTTAATTTTATAATAAAAAAAATATTTGTTTATTTTCAGATGATGCAGAGGTGATAAGCTAGCTCTAAACAGCAACCGAAACCGAAGGTGTTGAGATCGAACTAAATGTATATACATATCTTAGATCTGAAAAAGGCACTGTCAAGAACATTGATTCTCAACCGAAAGGAATCTCCCACATTAGCTAAAAAGGATTTATCAGTTTTATTGCAATTTTCTATTTCTTATTTATGTGAATTAGGTTTCTCAACCCTAAATAACATAAAAAATATTCACACAAGGAGCGCTAATACTTGAATAGAAACATTGAAATAAAAACTAAGTTCATATTTGTGTGTGTATTATTTTTTTTTAAATCTATGGTTTTATTTCATAACATTTAAATGTATACCCTTTAAAAATTTTGCTAAGTGTGATATTTTCATTTGCTCCTAGGTGTGCTGTTGCTTACAAAAGTTGAGAAACACTGGTCTAGAATATTAAGAAAATTTACTGAAAATAACATTTTTTTTTATTTGATATCTAATTTTATGTTGCTTTGTAATTGCATGGTTTTTTTTAAAAACTCCATTTCATCAAATATGCTGACCAAAGATGATGTCCGTTGTTCACCGCGTATTTGAGCAATGTTGCGAATGCGAGTCTTCTAATTATCCATTTGTAAAGACTCCAGCTGAATAATACATATTTAACCCAAAACTGCGCATACAACGTCCTATACATTTACGGTCACATATGCAAACGCGAAATGAATCGCTTCTTTTGATTAAACTTGAAAAGAACTAGAAAACAGCAGTTACCGACCTCAGAAGTGGACAAGCTGATTACATGGAAACAAAGCGCAGCTTCATGTTTGTTTTGAAAGAGAGTTGTCGTAAGTGCCAAATAAAAATGAAAAAAAAAAAAAAAAGAAACTAAAGAAATCAGCAAATAACTCACATCTACAGAAAATGGCAAAATAAATATATTCACATACATAAAACGCAAAAAGCAACCACACACACACACACACATATATATATTTATTATAAAATTTTTACATACATTTTTTTATAATACTGCTCTACTGCTCCTGGTATTGAGCCCTCTTTTGAATTAATGTCGTGAACGTTTGAATTTATGTTATTTTTTCGTTCTTATTTGTGTGTTCGTGTATATATATATATATATATATATATATATATATATATATATGAGTGGAAAAATGTATAATGTTTTAAAGATAATTTCAAAGAAAATATTTAGATATTTTTGCACATATATGTGCCATTTTAGTTCGCTACATTTCTATGTGGCAACTTCATGATTCCATCCTCTCAAAACTTAGACTCTTCTAGATGAACAAGTTTTTTGCTGGCTTCCAGAGAATTGAAGTTTTCCCCTTAAGAGAATTTTGTATAGATCAAAAGAAGTGATAATCTGAAGGTGTAGGTTCAGTTTCAGTTGATTACGGTAAGTGTGAGGTTTGGTGATGGAAGACAGCTCTCTTCCGTTTGGCCATTTCCGAGCGTTTTTCATCGAGTGCTGCCTTTGATCGGTCCAATTTGCAACATAGCTTATCTGGCTTCTACGTCTGATTTTGGGGAAAGAGCTTGTCATACACAGTGTCCTTCCAATGCTGCCAGATAGACAGTTACTGACCTACTTTTGGACTGTTTAACCGCGGTTCATCTAACCCCAGATCTTTTTTCGCTCCATATTGTAGTAAACATTCCATTTGTCATTGCTTGTAGTTGTTCTTTTTAAAAAATCATTGTTTTCGTTGCAGTAATTTCAGGCGAAAACGTGGAATATTGAATGCTTCCATTTTACCCTTAAATCATCAGACATCCAAACATAGTAGCGATTTATGCATCTAAGTACTTTAAATGCTCATATGAGATATGGGGAGTATCTTTGCAATGTCCCGTATTGCGTGACCTGGGTTAATTTTAATTAGTGTTTTGACTTGTTCATCAACGACTACCATAACGTTCACGCTTTTCCAGATCAAAATTCACAATTTTGAACTTAGAAAACTACGTACGAATAGTGCTTAAAGCTGTAGCACCATTTCTATAAAGGGAAAATCTGGTACAAGCAGTAAAAAACTGCATGTACCAGATTTTTCCTTTTCTCCCAAACAATTCTCAATTCACAAACAAATCTTATAGCAAGACGCGTTAAAATGTTATCTTTGAGAATATGTCTATATGTTATAAATTTTCAGTCACGTTTGAAATGAAATCACATGTTTTTACGTGACCTCGTAACATTTCGTACAGAGCCATTGAGATTCATTTCACAAAGAAATATAGTTTCTTTCAGGTCCTATTCCTTACCCTATTAATCCAACACTACAAAATATTAGGGATCATAATTACTACGAATAACGAGTAAAAAAAAAAAAAAAAAGACAAAAAATAAACTACTTACGTGAATCCAAAATTGTTTGAATTCAATATATAAAAATATCTAAAATCACAGATACACGAGATTCCTTTGGATATTCCTTTGGCAACATCCCGATATTTTTGTAGACAAAAGAATATTAACTTGCTCTATCCACGAATATTAACTATCACACAGACACCATATCGGTTCTTGATAATGACTGCGAAATTCGAAATTACTTGAACTAAAATAACAAAATATAAACTCCAGAAAGTTTATCCACAACTTCGAGCACAATACTCAACACCTTACCCAGAAATTGAAAAAAATACAATAAAATATTAAACGGACAAATCTTGTCACTTCTTTTTAATCAAACTTGTGAGTGAAATTGGGTAGACGGAACTCTTGGTGAGGGAGGGGAACCGTCGATGGATGGGCTAGCACCAAGTCACAAGTCATTGTGTCCGAGGGTTTGTGCGTGTTGGTTTTGATCAGACTTTTAATCAAGCGGTATCTCCCCAAAACTGTAACTAAGGTTCGCTCAGAATAGTTGCAGTATAAATCTGAGCAGGCGCCTGGAAATGAAGATTGGTTATATATATATATATGTGTGTGTGTGTGTGTGTGAATGAAATAATAGTGGAGGGACCAAGTTTTTTTAGCTTCAAAACACTATTTTTCCACATATTCCCTACCATTGAATTTGCACTTTCTTCAGCGAACAAATACAAACATATGTATGTGTGAGTGTGTAAAACGAAGAAAATAAACATGAGTATACTTATAAGTATACGTGCATATGTATGTGTGAATGTGAGTGCTTTTTGTAAAATCAGCTGCAAAAATATCGGTCAGCCATGATGCTAATTATAAGAAAGAAAGGATGAAAGGAAGAAATGATATAAGCGTACGAAAAAAGAAAGAAAGAAAGAAAGAAAGAAAAGGAAAGGTCATAATGTAAGAAAGAAAGGGAAGAAAAGGATCAGAAAGAAAGAAAGACAGTGATGAAGGAGAGAAGGAAAGGGGATATTGTAGCATGTAGATAGATAGATAATGAGAGGAAGACAGTAATTAAGGAAGATTGATGGTAAAAATGAAAGCGTGTGCAATAAAAATAAAAAAAACATATAATCAAATATGAAAAGGAAAGAAAGAAAGAAAAAGTTACAATAAGGAGAAAGGAGGAAGAAAGAAAAAAAGAATTGTTTGGGAATAAGAAAAGTATTGAGAGAGAAGGAAATAAAAATGAAAAAAGGAGAAATGATATATGAACAAGACAGATAAAATACAAAAAGAAAGAAGAGGAAAAGAATGAAATAAAATATGAGGAAAAAGAAAACAGAAAAGAAAAGAAAGAGAAAAATGACATAAGAAGTGGGAGGAAGAAACAAGAAAAAGAATGTAAGTAGAAAGCGAAAGAAATAGAGAAATGATTTTAAGGAGAAAGAAGAAAGAAAATAATAAAAGCGGGACAAAGAAATAGAGAAAATGAAAAAAGGTGCAAGAAGAAAGAGAGAGAGAGAGACAGGCAGACAGAGACAGAGATAAGAAAGAAAAGAAAAAAGAAAGAGAAAACGAATAGAAAAAGAAAAGTATGAGGAGGAGGACAAAGGGTGTAAGGAGGAGGAGAAAAAGAAAGCACATAAAAAGGATGACGAAGAGGAAAGGATTTAAGGAAGAGGAGAAACAAACAGAAGGGGTGTAAGAAGAAGGAGAAGAAAAGACGATGTAAGAGGGAAGAGAAATAAAGAGAAAGGTTGCAAGGAGGAGGAAAAAGAAAGAGAAAGGTTGCAAGGAGGAGGAAAAAGAAAGAGAAAAGTTGCAAGGAGGAGGAAAAAGAAAGAGAAAGGTTGCAAGGAAGAGGAAAAAGAAAGAGAAAGGTTGTGAGAAAACGGGGAAAAATGAGAAAGGAAAGCACAGAGGGCATGAGAGTGTGAAAGGAATAATTGAGATGTAGTAAACGTAGTTAGGAAAGAAAAAAATGAAAACAGTAAAAATATGTATTATGAATAAAAAAAAAAAATTCTGAGAAAAAAGAAAAATCAAAGAAAAATATATTAAACATATATATTCGGGTAAACGTTAACCCCTAATACTCCTGTAGATCTCTGTGGAACGACGAAAGATACTTTTTCAAGAATAACAGATCAACATTTCAAATAGGGTCAAGCCTTATCCTGTTCGTCAAAAACAGAGTAACAATAATTATTCAAAGGTTTACAAAATAAAATCTAGAATATAGTATCACTAGAGAGAGAGAGAGAGAGAGAGAGAGCGAGAGAGAGAGCGAGAGAGAGAAAAGGACAAAGATACGGACAATCACCAAGGTAATCTGTGTTTACCAATTCCTACAAAAAACATGATGCAGCTTGGGAATACATTGTATGTGCGCATACACAGAAACATCCGTACAGTTGTCCAGATAAAAAAAAAAAGAAAGAAAGAAAAGCGAACGAGGTTGGATATTTCTTTCCCATAAGTTCCAGACTCAAAAGTAGTTAGTATTATTGTAACCGTTATTGATTCTTAACTCTAAAAATATCGAAGAAGAAAACAAAAAGCTTCAATCAGAATCTGTACAGCATGGAAAAGAAAATCTTCAAATCGATGGAGAAGAGGAAGAGGAATTGAAAGAGGATGGGAAAGAAACAGAAGAAGAAAAAAGAGTTTTGAAAGCAATGCCGCATAGAGTGTGTGCAGTGTGTAATGAATGAGACGATGCAGTGGCACCTGAACAGGTGGAGTGTGTTGGCGTCGGGAAGCAGGACGACGTCATCGCTAAAAATAAAACAGCTGTAAGCCAAGAACATTTTTAAAGTGCGCATATTACAAGTAAGCATTTCTGGATAATTTTACAGATTTGCTTAATGAGAACACAACATGCGATTAATGACATGAAACAAGATTTATACATCTGTACAAATAGACAAATAAAATATATCAGTCATACACGAAGTTTACAGGAAATTAGACAATAAGGTGCAAGATGAAGCACCTAGTGAGGAACAAATTAACTTCGGTAATATTTGTTTTACCGGTTCCACGGTAATGTGTTCACTTAATAAGTATATACTTTAAAATATTGATGAAGTAGTGACATACTGTAAGTATAATAACAGAATGTCATTAAAAATAATGATGATTTATATGATATATGTACAGACACACACACAATATATATATATATATATATATATATATATATATATATATATATATATATATATACCTTACACTACGTCTTTAATTGGTTCCAGAGGTTACGAGTTAGCTCGAAAAACGGGTGTAACAGCAAAATTGTCCAAATCGTGTAACAACATAATTGTCCATCCCACAAAATCGTAAGTGAAACCTGTTAGGCATCTTGTTACCCCAGGACAGAAAGTTAGAAGGTTAGAGACGGCGAAGATAATCTTGAATGAGTTGGAAAATGTTCCTGGAATAATATATATATATATGAACTTTTTTTCAATCCTTCATGAGCTATCGATCCTTAGCTATGATTAATTAATCATGAATATATCATTTTTGTTTATGATCGATTATTTCATTACGATTCTTGTTAAGTTTGGAGAGTAATCATACATTCTTATTGCTCAAAGTAGAGTGCAATAGTGTTATAAGAACCTCGGGGAATTCCAGTAAGATATCGTTAATCATTTCTAAGATAGAACGGTTCAAAGCTTAATCTTGTAGCCGCCCCACGGTTATGACATCATTCAAATTTCAGGATTAGAAATTTAATTTTGCAATTGTATGAATTGTTTATGCAAAATTCATCATTCCATCTGTATCTCATGCATAGAAATAAATAAAAGGTATTTTAATTGAAGGGATTAAAGATAAACGTTTCTAAAAGAGAGAACAGAAAACATTGAACTGGTGTCCTCATCAAAGTTTCCACCGCTAATAACACATATGAAGACATTTGTCTGAATGGATCAAAATACGAACTGAAATTTGTGATAAAAAATAGCAACAAAAATGAAGAAAGACTTCTTAATTCGAAGGATATTCGAGAGTCGTGACATTGTTTTTAATAGACATTTTTTTCGTAGATTTAGCTGTATATTTAGGTCATTATCTTGTTACAAATCCTATTTGTTTCGGAGTCCAAGCATTGTTACTGACCCAAATAAATTAGAATCCAAAACATCTTCATATATTTTTGAATTCATTCTATCATCTATTATCTCTAAATTACCCGTACCATTAGCAGAAAAACATCTCTAAACCATGATATTGCCACCACCAAATTTCACCTTGGGGATTGTGTTCTTCGGTGCAAAGGCTGTGCCGTCTTTTCTCCAAAAGTAAATCCTTGAATTACGCCCACATTGTCCAATTTTTGCTTCATCTGTCCATAAAACATTTTCTCAAAATAATTCAAGTTTATTCTTATGCACACGAACACATTTTAAACGGTCATTCTTATGTTTGTTCAATAGTTGTAGAGTTTTTCTTGGAGAACACGATCTTAGTTGATTTCTATGAAGTTCATTGCTTATTTTTCGCTTCGTAACAATAATACCTGATGCTTTTAATTCTTTCTGGATTTCTCTTCGAGGAGTCATTGGATTTAAAAAAAAATTTGCACTGAATTCTCATTGATCTGGGGTTAAATCTTGCGTGGTGCACCAGATCTTCATTTGTTCTCAACAGTTTTCACCTTTTCATAGTTAACAATAACGGAACTAATAGTAGTAAATGGTTTATTCAGGATCTCTGCTATTTTCCTATAGTTTTTGCCTTCCTTTCTATGTTTGATGATCAATTCTTTTTTCAAATATCATAGTTCCTTGTTTTTCCCCATGATAATTATTTGTGTGCGGAGATAACCTTATGTGAGAAATGAATTACAGAATGTTCTAGATTGTTCCGGTAATAAGATAATTGGAAGAATATAGCAAAATCTTACAGAGAATTATGTGAATAAAGGTAATTTAAGCCTTTTGATATTAAAGACATATTTTGTACGAATACTATTTTTGCCTCGAAATTTTATTATTAACACAATTTCGTTTATAAAGTTTTCTAATTGTTTTTTTTTCATATTGCAGCATTATCCAATGGTGTAGAAATATTGTATGGATTTTCATTGTTAATTAAAAAATTCATGGTGTACGAATATTTATTTTCCCCCATTAATATATATATATATATATATATATATATATATATTATATATAAAATACAGTTTTATTTGCAGAAACATATTTCAAGACGCCAAAGTGAATGTCTAGCACAATAAAAGATTAACAATAATAAGTAATAAAATCAATAATTATAACAAGAGATTGTAGCAAAAGTTATGTGACGAATAGAAGTTTTCATTCTTCTCGCAGCTTATAGCAAACTCACCACGCGGTTATATTATTTTTTTTATAAAATCGAGAGCTTTCATCTTTTTAGTTTTATTTGTCATATCTGAATTAACAGCAGGTCCGACTTGTAATTATTATTAAACAGAATTTAAAAATTGCTCATTTCCTGCTAGTTTAGGTTGGTTAATTTAATTAACCTTTCTTTGTCTATTTAATGTCGAATATAAATGGTTGGGTTTCTAAGTCTATACGCCAACATACGTCCGACTTTGCAAGCATATTTCCGAAATGTGCGCTTTTTATGTCTGTGTGTGGGGAGAGAGGGGGTGTCTCTGAATCCTTTGCAGTGTGTGCGGTGATGCTCTAGTCCCTGCCGATAGTACATTGTCTATTTCTGGGACTGACCGCAAGAAGCCTTGATTAAGGTGGGTATCACAGTATACATTTTAATATAGACGCTTACCACAGTGTTCACACACCATCTCCTCAGAACGTCTTCTATAGAGCAAACTTTTTCTAGATTTTTCTCACATTGTTAAGGTATTTTTATTAAATCAATTCACCCCAAGCAAGGCAATAATGCCACAAGATACTGGGAGTGAAATAGAATGAAAAAAAAAACATTAGAAAGAACTGGAAATTCAATCCTAAACAGGAAACTAAGGATAAACCTTTACTCCTGTTCAAAAGACAGCGGAGGTGTGTGGATAGTAGGCGAACATATCTACACCTCCAATCACTGAATACCCTACTGCCATGAGCAGGTGAGAGTCTATGCCAACGTTTCTCAACCATTTTTACCCTTGTGGAACTCTTGAAATAGTTTTCATGTCTCAGGGGTGCCCTGCATAAAAATATTATTAATATTTTATATATTTTATCGTAGTTCACGTGGTAAACATAATATATGAACAACGTGCATACGTCCAGTACTCGAATGAGCCACGAATCTACCACATACACGGCCTGTCCACTAACCAGTGAAGGCAGTTTCACACTGAGGCCATATAAACATCGCTGTGATTATTATAATTTTAAATACTATCAGAGATTGAATCCTTTATTATAATAACCAAAGATTTTCCAACACTATGCCAATAGTGTATATTGAAATTAAAAATATAAAAGTTACTCAAAATGCATTAGCGACCTCTTGCGGAACCCTAGGTTTGCAGTGACCACCGGTTTTAGAAATACTGGTTTATGGAAAAATCAGGGATTGTGTCGTAGAGATGATGTTTTGGAAGATAACCTTTTCGGCTATTAATAATGCAGCGAAATTAATAATTCACAACAACGTTCCTTTGGAAGACTCGGCTAATCTTAGTAAATGTTTCACGCCTGACCTCAAGATCGAGTTTGAAAGCTAATATCGCAAACGACAAGTGAACAGACTAAGTTCGATCCTCACTATGTACCACACTCCTGTGGCTCTTGCCTGAACTGTACACATCATTCTTAGCAACTCCCGCTCTTTCCCCATTCTTACAATGGCACATCGATCTTCATTCTTATTTTTGTCGATGATGTTCAATACGATTCGCACGAAACTTCTTGCTTGACCGCTTAACACTGCAGTAGAAAATAAGACACGGTTTAAAAA